CACATCTGCGTCCGTTTTTAATGTACTATAGGTGTCTACATCTGTATCACCTCACGGATTCATCTTAAAACCTTTTATACAGCCTAGTGGGGGGGGTGGTGAGTCATATACAACATCCTCAACCTCCTCAACCTCACTTAGGCCCCGCCCCTCCCTGCCCTTGATAATATCGATTTTCTTTTTCTTCCCACTCGCCGACTTAACCACCGTCCCGTTTTCCGTCCCGCATTTCACGCCTTTACTTACCTTGCCGCCCGCGAGGCCACCGTGACTACCATGGCTACCATTCGTATCGGCAGCTTTGCTTTTCATCAAATCGTCGTACATGCTGCTTTTAAACGCACTCCGCGGTGCGTCCGGTACCGGCTGGATATAGTTCGATACACTCTGCTGCAGCTGTACCGGGGCTGCACTGTTTAGGGCCGGGGTCTGTCCTTGCCCCTGTGCCCGTGTAGCACTCCCTACTGTCGCATTGACCAGGGGGCACGCATAGCTGGTATACCTATGCATTCTACCGCCACTGCTGCCCACACTAGCCGTCGAATCCGCCGAAGCCCGCCGGGCCTTCATGCCACTCACCGCAGCTCGTAACGTATCACTACTCGACGTCATACCCGTTAGAGGCATGCCCAAGCCTGTCAACTGTGACAGGTCACTGGTACGGCCCTCGTACGACACACTCCCCAGGTCTCTCCGCACCTGTCCAGCGGTGCTCTGAACGTCCTGTGGGGGTTGTGGGGGTGTCGATGTGTGTGCATGCTTGCCCCCGTGTGTGCCCTTGGGCACCTCCTCGTCCCGGCCCTCGTCAATGGACGCGCGTCGCGCCGTGTGCTGGTCGTGGCTGGCGGTGGCTTTACTACTGGTGTTACCATTACTCTGTGTACTACTGTTGCTAAATCTCCGGGCTATCCGAGCCCCCAGTTTTAAACTCCCGCTACTCTTCTGTTGAAGGCCCTTGCCCAAGCTGCCGTTCGTTGCACTCGTCGTGGACTCACCGCTGACCCGTGGGGAACCGCCCGTGGCCCTTCCGGGTAACACTAGTATAAGCAGCACAGTCACGTCTTCTACCGCCTTGTTCAGGCCTTTCGCCAGTTTGACTACTTCTCCCGCGAGCGCGTCTAAATCCTGATCCTCGCTGAAGGTTAAGTGATCCATGAGAAACTTCCGCACCTGCGAGATGGTACAGAAATCCCACAGGCCGCTGGTTGCTATGACGACGACGTGGGGGACGCTGATCTCCAGCGGTTGCACGAAGGTTTCTGGGCTGTAGTCGGGCGCACGAAGCATAAGAATTCAAAATCAAACACGAGTCACTACGGAGATATAGAATATACGTGAAATGGGATACAGGCCTACGCCAAAAGCCCTGACAAAGACTCTTAAGCCCTAAAGTGATGTACATACTTGAGCACAGAATGCATGCTAACTGTATCATTGGTACTCTCCAGACGCACAAAGACCAAGGCACGAAGTCTCTCGCCAGCGATCACAACAAACATCGAAACAGAGAGGTCAAGGTGGGCAAAACAGTGCACGAGGGACGTACCTTTGCCAGACAGGCGCTCGTACTGTGGCGTACGAAGATGGACGCAATACACTCACACACGTTGGTACATAATCGATGCATATTCAACTGCGCACTGGTTACCATGACAACTCAAACACAGCCGCGCACCACTCCATCCCCCCCCCCCAATTCGCAGAGCTTAGCGTGCACTCAGCACGCCTCACACCAATAGCACTGCCATCGACAAAACCAAAAACCCCAAGACGAGAGTCCGTGCCAGACCACAACCTAAGGCACACCCCACCCGCAATATACAACCCCCCCTTGCTTGGTCAATTGAAATAAAATTGGCTTATACTACAGCATGTACTGATACCCTACTATCTAAGCACATGCATCACACACATACTCGCACGCCACTCCAGGACCACAGTTGGCAGAACCCAGCGCACGCGTAGTGCGACTGATGCCATTGACTTTGCCATCTGCGACACGACCTCCTCTCAAGACGACACCCTGGGAGAAGGGTAGGACGTATATATAATTATAAGTATGAATATAATAGAAGAGAATGGAATAGGGTAGAGTGTGTATAATTGTAAGTGAGAATATAATAGAAGAGAATGGAATAGGGTAGAGTGTATATTTATGCTAAGAATATAATAAAATATAATGGAATAGGGTAGAGTGTGTATGACTATAAGTAAGAATATAATAGAAAAGAATGGAATAGGGTAGAGCGTGTATAATTAAAAGTAAGTATATAATAGAAGAGAATGGAATAGGGTAGAGTGTATATAACTATAAGTAAGAATATAATATAGAAGAATAGAATAGAATAGGGTAGAGCGTGTATAATTATAAGTTAAGATATAATAGAAGAGAATAGAATAGGGTAGAGATGAGAGGAGACTTGTGGAATGAATAGAAACGCATTGATGTATGAGTGTGGAAGTATGTGAACAAATGAAACTACGTTATAATCAATGGCTGGGACGATGATGGAATAAGCATCAGGATGAAATTACGCACCCATGTATGAGTGTGGAATGATTATAACACAATAGAGCAGGAGAGGAAGACGTAGACAAATGTATGATCGTCATACAGACTCACATAAACACATAAACACATACACACATAAACACACATAAACACATTCAACACATACACACATAAACACACATACATACACATACATATGTATATATATATATATATATATATATATATGAAAGGCCAATAGCTCAGAGCACTCACCTGCTTCTCGACAAAACTCGATGCCGTGTGTGCATTATTGAGTTTGACCACACCCTCCGTCGAGCCCAGCGAGGTCATGCTGCGGTTGTGCGGCGAAGCCGCCGCCGCCGCCGCCGCCGCCGCCTGTCTGGCCAACAGTGACGCATTGCTGTAGCGTCTGTGGGGCTGTGGTACGCCCCAACTGTCTCTACGCTCGTGCGACGCGGAGGATAGCGCGCTGTTGGCGCTGCCTTGGCTTGTCTGGCGGCCGTCAGTGGGCCCGGTAGTCGCAGAGGTTGCCATGGCAACAGTGTCGTTGTGGGTAGGCGTGGCTGCGTTCAGGGTGGTGGTGCTGGCATCCTCGCCGGGCGCTCGGGTGGGGGTGAACGATTGCCTGTGTGTACTGTGTGTGTGTGTGTGTGTGTGTGCACGTGTCGGTGATTTCCCAGGCGACGGTGTGTCTGAACCGGGCTGTGAGCGTGCCGAATGCAGCAGCTCCTTCCGCTCGATGCCCAGATTACTGCGGCTGTGCGGGAAGTAGGATATATTGCTGTTACTAAATCGTCGCCCCATACCCGTCTGTGGCTGTAGTTTGAACTCTTGGCCACTCGTGGAGGTGGGAGTGGGGCTGCTGTTTTGTTTGATAAGCCCAATGCTGTTCTCGGTTGGTGTGCCTGAGGGTGACTGCGGCGTGTTTGGCGATGCTGAGTAGTTAAACGGCTCATCTGTCCTGGTGTGTTTGGACGCTTCAGCCGGGCTGGACTTGACGCTGGTGCTGGTTTTATCCGTATCGCCCGCAGTGCTATTTATAGACTGTCCGGCACTGTCCGACGTTTGCCGCAGAGTGAAAACTAGGCCACCCGCGCCTTCGTCGTCGGCGGTGTGAGGTGTCATCGAGGTACGTGTGATGGTGGGTAAGCTCTGAGTAATCGAGTTTTTGGCTTCTTTATCTGTGAATTGATAGTGAATACATCGCCAATTAAAAGTGAATATATTGTGGACTAATAGCGAATTATGTGGATAGACAGCGGATTGATTGTTGACTAATTGTGAATTAATAGTAAATCAATAGCCAATTAATTGTAGATCAATTGTGAGCCTAAAACCCCTAAACCCTAAAACCCAAGAAAAAGTACAAGAAGCATAACATAGCTATCCATAAACATGCTCACATAGACCGTTCCACACACCTGTCTTATTCGCCCCGCCGCGAGTTGCTTGGCAACACACATCGGCGCTGTGCTCTCGCTCTCCTTTGCCTTTGCCGTCGCAGTCGCAGTCATGCACCTGTACCTGCGATAAACCGGGCGCTCCGGCCCCACCGGTGTCTATCACCAGGTGTCTTCGGGCCCTGTCCTCACTAGTGGGGGTGTGGGCCTGAGCTAGGACGCTCTGTATTGCGCTCGTAGGTCCCTCGGGGTACAGTGCCGAGCCTTCGGACGGGTCTACCTGAGCACTTGGGGTTGGGACCGGTGTACTTGTGGTTGGGACAGGGCCGTCTGCTTGGTATAGTTGGGGGTGCAAATTGGGCGAACTGGCGCGTGCGCGGGTGGTGCGTGACGACGACATGGGCGGCGATTTGGCGCTGGCGTCAATGTAAATCCACGAGTTGCGGGAATCTTGACTGGCCCGCCTGCTATATACCCTGTGATGGAAATAGATGATACACATATACGTGGAGCATGGATTAGCTATATATCCTGTGATGAACTGAGATGATAGACATATACGTGGAGCATGGATTAGTTATATATCCTGTGATGAAATGAGATGATACACATAAAGGTACAGCATGGATTGATCCACTTGTATACTGTGTGCGAGGACAAGTGCCGTGCAGTATTTCTGTGTGTAGTATAGCCTCGTGATGAGCATAGGGTGAACAACGGGGTTGGGGTTGCGGAGGTCATGATTAGTCCGCTCGCTGTTTGACCAGTAATGGACATCAGTGATGTGTGTACAAGTGACGAAAAAGCGTATATCGGTCTGCTCCCGAACTGTACGCGAAATTAATTTTTCTTTGAGATGTTGATGTAAATTAAGCAATACGCTTGACAAACAAACAGCCAGAATACATATTGGATACACGTACATATATATTTATATGTATATATATATATATATC